TTGTTGCTGGTTTAGGGATCGGTTTGTGAAGAAGAGGGAGAAGAGAGGGGGAAAGGGAAATGCAGGAGAGGGGGATAACTCTTTTCTCCGACAAAAATGGAGTGAAGAAAGGAATTATGATTAGTAAGGATATGGTTATCTTACATTACGGTCTCTATTCTGTTTGAATTGAGCTTGGGAGGCAGTGATAAGGACGAGCTGCAACCAATTCATAGTGATAAGAGTGCTATGAACTGTGATAATGTCTTATTTCAAGTTAGAAGGTAGTTTCAGTATAAGGATTATTTAATTTGACAAGTTGTTTCGTCCATGATTCTTGGTAGTTTCACTGCCATTCTAGCCATTGTTTAGTCTGTAATTTTTGAGAATTGATGTGCGAGTGATGACTTTCACTTAGCTTCAACTATTATGTGTGTATTTATTGGCATGTGATAGAATTCTCTTTTCCTTTTCTTTGAATTCAGTTTCATACTCTAATTGTATCATTTGTACATAGGCAAATCATGCTCGAGATGACAACTCGCTGATATGGCTGGTGCAATGAATGAAGCCATCATTAGAATTCAAACCGACAACGGGGAGGGATGCCCAGGACTAATTCAATGATGATTGATGATGGTATAATAAAAACTGCAGTCAGCATCAGCACCAATTTCTAGGCCTAAGTACAGTTATTCAACCCAGAACTCTGCTTAGCGCTAAAAATTGCCCTCACCCAATCTTGATCATGTTTGACCCACTTCTGAAGAGTCAAGATATATGACTAATCCTCTCCGTTCGTATTTTCTTATTGACTCTTTCTGACCCTTTAAGTTGGGGCGGGTCAGGAAGAATCGGATTAGTGGGTCGGTCCTAATCAAGTGGAATCTCAATCTCTTCACTCTCACTTGCTTTCTCTCCCATTCCATAAGTGGGTAACATATAGTAATCCGGCCAACGGGCCGGGTAATAAGCTAGTTCCTTTCCATCTCTCCTTCCCATCCAATTCCGTTCCATCTCACATTTCCTTCCGATTCCCGGATTTTTTATCAGAAATAACATTGTTTAAAAAAAATTACAAAAATAGCACCCAGTCCCGAAAAATTCTAAAATAGCACCATTTTCGAAAACCGCCACCCCACCTTGCGGTTTACAAGAAAACCATTGTGTTGGAGTGCGGTTTTCGACCAAAACCGCTTGGGTTGGTGGCGGTTTTGTTGACCGCAGCGGGTAGGGGCGTTTTGGTCCAAAATCGCTGCCTCAACCATCGGTTTGTTTTTTCCCCCCGATTATTTCTAATCTAGGTGAAAACTTCAAACGAACGTATATTTGTGTTCGGGTAACCGATCGTAGCGAAATTTTTTTTATTCCGCATAACTTTTCAAGATCTTGCATGCCACAAACCGTCGTAGGTGTTTTGGTCCTGCATTCGTTACACAAAAATATCGTTTGCTAAACTGAACGATCTTTTTTCCGATTTCGTCAAACTTTGGACGGCCATAACGTTGTGCTCCAAAATCCGAACGTCATGAATTTTTTTTTCATTTTGCACAACTTTTTAAGGACTACAAATTTTATCATAGATATAATTTTGAAATGTACGTGGATTTGTGAAAATGGAAGGTAAAGTTACTCCCAAAACCCTGTATATTCAAAAATATTTCCTGTTTTGAAAATTCATTCATAGTAAAAATTGTAGTCCTTAAAAAGTTATGCGAAATGAAAAAAATCACGACGTTTGGATTTTGGAACACAAAGTTATGGTTGTTCAAAGTTATTGACAACTTTTAGCGTTCAAGGAGTAAAAAGTTGTCAATATGTAATTGTTTCAACAATAGAGTTGTAGTTTAATGGTGTAGATGTTGTGCTAAATTAAGTTAACTATTTATTATCTGGCTTCGAACTACCATCGCAACAACATGCTGCTTTTTTTAATCTCTACTAAATAAAAAAGATTTAATATGAGATGATGGTGTTTCGAACCTATGCCTTCTTGCACACAATAAACAACTAAACCAATTGTGACAAGACCACTTAGGACATTTATGCGGGAAAAAATATATATTACAAATCGTCGGGTGAGGGTGCGGTTTGCAACCAAACCGCCCCGGCCCCATGCGGTCAGCAAAACCGCCCCCTACCCTAGAGGTTTTGGTCGAAAACTGCACTCCACCCAACGGTTTTCGTGATTGGGTGCTATTTTTGTAATTTTTTTAAACAGTGTTATTCTGGAAAAAATCCTCTTATTCCCTTCCATCTCTCATTCCCTTCCGATTCCCTTCCAATACTGCCCCTCTCCCTCCCTGTCGTCATCATCTCTTACCTATTCATCTCAGAGACCCTCAAACCGAGCTCTCCCTTGTTTTCTGCTTCGCTGATGACGATGGCGTCTGATTGGTGAAATTGCCATTGGCTGCGATTGCAATTCTTAACCGAGAAATTATGGTTGAACCCTAGAACGGATGTTGCGGATATGAGCTGGGAATCGGAGATGGTGGACTTGATGGTCTCACCATCAGACTTCTGGTGGTGGACGAGATCGAGGAGAGGAGAAGGCTAAGCCAATGCGGGAAGGAGGAAGAGAAAAGGCTCGTTCCCTCCGCCGCTAGAAGCGACCATGGAGAAAATCCCTTCTCCGATCTGTTTCCTCACTCTCCCTCTAGTTTTCCCTTTTTCAGATCGAGAGTGGCCGCCATTACCGAGGGGAGGGTTTAGAGTAGATGATGATGTAATGAGGTGGAAATTCACCACTAGGATACGACGGGGTTGTAGGTTTGCTGCAGCGAGAGCGATGACAAAGTGAGGTTTCGCCAGAGGGAGGAGCGGGGGAGAGGAAGCGGTGGGGGAAGATTGGGAAGAAGAATCATGAGAGAGAGTGGGGTTTAGAAATAAAAATGACTAAAAAAAGAATTATAATAAAAATGACATAGAAGCCATATAACTGCCACTTTAGTAGTGGATGTTGAGTCATTGACAGAATAAATGTTTTGACCGTTAATATTAACAGTCAACACAAGTTTCGGGCCAAATCTGTCAAATAATTTCAAAAGTAGGCCATAAATGTCTTATTCGAAAAATGGGGTTAGAACTGTCACTTACGCTAAACTTCGGACCAAACTAGGGTATTAACTTTTTTCAAAGGGCGATGTCTATTTTTTATCCAAACCTTTTTCGGATTCTTTTTTATTAGCCAAACCTATCGAAATTCAAAAAATTAGCCAAATGTTAACTTTCAGTTAGCAATTTTGTTCTTGTAAAAAAAAGTTAGCAATTTTGTTAGTAATATTGACTTGGCAACATGATACTGACTTGAAAGAGACACATGAAAGCCAACATTCCAGAATTAGTATTTCAACTAGGAAAAGAGATACAAAATTATTAACGATAACATAAAAATGGTTAATATTTTTATGCATTACAAAAGATTTGGCTAATTAAAAATATTTTAATAGGTTTAGATAATATAAAAGAATGTGAAAAAAATTCGAATAAAAAATAAACATTACTCTTTTTCAAAGGGTAAATTGTAAGGATGGTCACTGGGTTTATTAAAAACGTTCATATTTGGTCACTACGAATATTTAATTCCATTTGTGGTCACTAAAATTAGTTTAATAGTTCATGTATGGTCACTCTCCGTTAGTCTCCGTTAACTTTTACTGATTTGACAGTCAACCTTTATAGTTGACCGTTAAATGACTGATGTGGCTATTAAAAAATTAATACAAAAATAAAATTTAATCTATCATAAATTCCACCTCATTACACATTCATTAAAAAATAAATTAAAAACTTAATTTCTTCTAATTGGTCGTCCCCTTCTGATTCTCCCCTTTCTATTCACCAACTCCCCATATGAAACTCTCCCATTGACAAAACCCAGTTGGGTGAAAGGAGAAGAAATCCCCAACAAGTCCACCCCGCCTCCATCTCTTCTCCTTGTGCTTCCTCCATGCTCATTTGTTCCATCCACTAATTCATCCATTAATTGCTTCTTCAACATGATATTTGACTCTATCAGCAACCCCCCGATTCTGCCACCACCCGCCTTTTCTTCCCTTGCTCTTCTTCCCCCATTGTTGGGAGCCACAAATTACAACGGAAGGGAAAGAAACTTCAGTCATAGCCTAGGTGAGGTTTCACCGGCAAATTGATGGAGAACTACAAAGAACTTGAATGGTTTATGAATCGGAGGGACTACAACGCCGACCGGTCACCCCATGCGCTGGCCATTTCAGTCCGTGCTCGCGGGCAGCAGCGATTCCCTTCTTCTTACCGACAAACGTAGTATTGTTGTTTGCGATGGTGGCGAAGGTGGATTTGATTGAGATGGTGGAGAATGGGGAGAGGAAGAGGCCGTAGAGGTTTTGTTGACCTCATTGTCCCGGCTTTTGCTGCGGTTGCGGCGGTGGTTCTACTTTTGCTTTAGTGACGGCGGTAGCAGCGGTAGGGCAATTATAACGGCACAGAGGTGGTGGAGGAGGACGGCTACTCGGCTAGGTTGGTTGTTTGGGTGATTATTAAAATTGAATTTTATTTTATTTTTAATGGTAATGAAAAATGAGGTGAAAATTGTAAATCTTTAAATTTGAAATTTTTATTAATTTTTTAATGACCACGTCATTTATTTAATGGTCAACTATGAAGGTTGACTGTCATATTAGCAAAAGTTAACAGAAACTAACAAAAAGTAATTAAACATAAACTATTGAACTAATCTTAGTAACCACGAATGAAATTCAATATTTGTAGTGATCAAACATGACCAAACATAAACATTTCTAGTAAACCCAATAAGTTGTAATTTACCCCTTTTTCAAATAAAGAAAGGTCAATCATTCAAACTCTCTCTTGACATAAGACAAGCTTAATAAATGTTGGTAAAAACCAAAACCTAGTCAACCCAGATAGATCTAACCCGACCTGACTTGACACTGGTTTCAGGAGGCAGGCTCAGGGCCCGCATTGCTGTGTTGAGTTGAGTCTCTCGGCAATTCCAAGGCCTGTTAGCATTGAATTCCCAACTAATACACAACAAATCACAGCCCACCCAACTTCGTTTCCACCGAAACCGCCCTCTTAGTACAACACAAGACCATCATCGTCGCTTTCCTTCCCTTCCCCATATACTCTTCCTCTGATTCCTCGCCCCAGCATCCTCCTCAAGCCACCTTGCTCTTCTGCCTTCCCCGCAACCATTCTCGCCCACAGCCGGAGGTAAAACAGCTCCGCCTATTGACTACATTTTTGCAATGTGATCTATTATATTGCTGCTGTTGTTTCCTGCTGCAGCAGGTCAACCAGTTCTGCATTTTAAAATGTATCCCGTTCGAGTTCCATTTTTTTTTTTATCGTTGGAACTAGTTCGAATCCATTTCTTTGATAGTGTAGATGTGAAAAGCTGCAGTCTTTTTGCTGCGAGGAATCTCGGTAGCTTTTACCTTTTCCTGTGTTGCTTTCCTTCTTACACTCTTTGGTTGAAGAAATGATGCTGATGCTGACATATAGTGCAATCTGCTGCTGCGTCCTTTTCTATGTTTAACTAGTTACCCGGGCTTGAACTATTCAAATGTCTGTTAGATTTTAAGACTTGCTGATGTTGGCTGCAAGGATCTTCCTCTTGGTTCAAAAAATGTCTCACTGGAACACTTTCTTCTGGGTAGCAACTATTTTTTAATACTGTTTGCTTTTCATGTCGTTTCGTGTTTCAGCTCACTGATTGAGAATGTTCATTAGATTGCCAATGTTGGTCTTGCACTAGCCATTTTCATTTCTTGCTGGTTGTAATTTTGAGTATCTAAAACAGCTCTGGTATGACAATCTTTTAATACACTGTAGTCTTTTTTAACATTTTCCCAACTGGTTGCTACTTCAATTGCTCTTGTTTCTTCTTATATAGGCTCCATTCAGATCCTCCTTCCTGGTTTCTATTGGTTGGCAGCATAGCATGTTCATGTGTGTGTCAATGGTGCAACCTAATTTCTCTAATGTGATCATATGCTTTGTCTTTGCGGCCTGGCAGAATTGTGAATATAAGGATAGGAAGAATGGCTGCAGCTGCAACTCCTACTGTAGGCCTGACAACAGCCAGGACTTTCATCTCATCCCTCCATAAAACGTTGATGTCGAGGGCAGCAATTCTGAGTACAGAGTCCAAAGATGCATCTATGACTAGGCTTGCAAGCTCTTCTCACATCTCATTGAGCCATTCCTTCTTACAGAAGCCTAATTCAGTGATCCTGAAATCTAAACGAGTTGTCGCAACAAAAGCAGTGTCCTCGGAAAATGAAACTAGCGCCTTGCCAGGACTTCCTATCGATTTAAGAGGTCGATTTTTCTCCTTCACTTTTCGCCTTTGTTTGCTAGTTAAAGTAATAATCAGTTTGAGCAATCATTTGCATTAGAAAAGTTCACTACATTTTGTCTATTTGGTTTTGAAGATTCTAAATTTATTGCAACTTTTGCGCTTTATGATCTTTATGTTGTAAGACTCGAGTAATGATGAGGACATTATATTCTCAGGGAAAAGAGCTTTCATTGCTGGTATAGCTGATGACAATGGGTATGGTTGGGCTATAGCCAAATCACTTGCAGCAGCTGGTGCTGAAATTCTTGTTGGTACATGGGTGCCGGTATGTAAACAAACTTATCCAATTTCTCTTCCAATGATATAGTTCCTCTAAATATGAGATTAGTTGCAGTTGCTAAATCATGATTATTTTTCAACAGGCTTTGAATATATTTGAAAGCAGTCTACGACGCGGAAAGTTTGACGAGTCTCGTGTGTAAGAATGTTTTGTGCAAACTCCCAAATTCTGTTAAAAATATACTATTTAAGGAATCTATATCCTGGCTTATGTACTGATTCCTTTGGCGGTTTTCGCAGATTACCGGACGGTTCTCTGATGGAAATTACTAAGGTGTATCCAATGGATGCGGTTTTTGATGGCCCTGAGGATGTTCCTGAAGATGTAAATAACGATAGCATCTCATTTGCTATGTGTCTACAATATGAAGTAGCTATAGTCAATGACATGTGCAATTTGTGCAGATAAAAACAAACAAGCGCTATGCAGGATCATCCAATTGGACTGTTAAGGTAATCTTTTTTCATTCTTTCATGATAATGGCTACTGCAGTCTACCTTCTCCCTCATTTGTAATTGATGAGGTACATGGTTGAGGGATATTTTGTAGGAGCTTGTTGAATCAGTGAAGCAGGATTTTGGCTCTATCGACATCCTTGTCCACTCCCTCGCTAATGGTCCAGAGGTCGGTTACCATTGTATTATTTCTGTTCTTTTTATTTTCCCTTACTGTAATTTCTATTTCATGAAACTGATTTACTTTCTCAGGTCGCGAAGCCTCTTCTGGAGACTTCAAGGTTTGGGTACCTTGCAGCCATCTCTGCATCAAGTTACTCCTTCATTTCCCTTTTGCAGAACTTCCTTCCTATAATGAATCCAGGTGCTGTCTTCCACCATGAATATCCCTCAAAAGGGGAGCGGAAAATATTTTGGCCTTATGCAGTTATGCTGATATGAGCTTTACTTGTTGATACTTCAGGTGGTGCAACAATTTCCTTGACCTACATTGCTGCTGAAAGGACCATTCCTGGGTATGAACCAACACTTCGGGTTTACTATCAATCACCAGATAAGTTTAATGTTATTGCATTTATAACTAAATATCCGAAGATTCTACATTGCAGTTATGGTGGTGGGATGAGTTCAGCCAAGGCTGCATTGGAGAGTGACACACGGGTGAGTTAATACGTCTCAATTCCATGTAGCCTTTTAATGCAACTGACTGTGTTAGGTTTAAACATAGTTGACATTATTTGTATGCATCCTCACAGTTGTGTGTTAATTCAGGTGCTTGCCTTTGAAGCTGGAAGGAAGCACAAAATCAGAGTCAACACAATATCTGCAGGTACCAACTAAGCCATGAAGAGGAATTTGGTACATAGACTGCACTGTGATTCCATCGGAACTATCTGGATAGCAAGATCAACTGCCATAAATTCTATTCATATGAGAAAAAGCAATAGATAAGTTCATGTGAGAACATGTATATAATTTTAAGTTTTCCTAACTTCCATGCCTTTGCAGGTCCATTGAGAAGTCGGGCTGCAAAAGCTATCGGTTTTATCGACATGATGATAGAGTACTCGACTACCAATGCACCCCTTTTGAAAGAACTATCTGCAGGTTAGCAAAAACTACTCCCTTTCCCCTTCATTTTTACTTCATGTAGATTAATAAGTATACCATCACTGATATGAGCTCTGTGTTATGTTAATTCTGCAGAGGAAGTAGGGAACGCTGCTGCTTTCCTGGCTTCACCTTTGGCCTCAGCCATCACTGGAACTGTCTTGTATGTCGACAATGGTCTAAATGGTATGGCTGTTAGCACCGACAGCCCCATACTGGAAAAGCTCCACGCTGCAAAGGAGAAATAAACACACCTACGCAGGAACTCACCCAGAGCTTAAGTTTTGTTTTGTTCTTTTTTTGTTAATTTCAGAGTACACAATAAATGCTGTTCTTCCTATCTGGGCTCCTCGTTGGACTTGTGTAACATTTTTACATATGCAGAGAGCTAGCTGATTTCAGTTGAATCGAACACAGAGGGAACAAACAACTTTGTGTAACATCTTTAGCATGAAAATTCATTTTGTAGTTAAGCTTTCTGCAGAGCCTAAACTTGAGAATATTTAACAATGATGATCCTCAAAAGCAGACATTACTTTGGCTTTGCGCTCCTAGCCTCAGCTCCTTTAGATTCTAGTCAGATGGGCTGGATTCTTGAGTCCTATGTGGCATCAGCTCCTTTCCAACCCCGACTGAGGAGCACATCAACTGCAACGCTTCAACCACAACTAAAAAATGAGATTTCCAGAAAAACAGCTACTAAAGCCATGAACTTTACATCGTAAACAACAAGGTACTGTTTGATTTCACACCTGCCAATCACTGTAGTCGAATTTGAAGACAAAATGCCGGTAAGCAACGTCGCCGGAGGCAATCATAGTGGCTGATGGCGCATTCCTCGGAGCTGCCACGTCATACGAACATTAGAGAGATGGGTAACAAAGCAAGCAGGGGAACTGGGGAGAAAAGACAGTTCCTTCATTAACAAAACTTACAGACTAGATGGCGACCGGATTCATCATCAACTTGAATCTCCACCCTTCCGTCTTTTACAAGGAACGACAACGCAAACAAATTCTCCACCGTCTGTGAGAATGAGCTCCTGTTCAATACCAGGTGTTCAAGCTCCACCTTCCTCTCCTTCCTCAAGATGCTGAACATGGTCAGCATCGTTCCATCAGTCGTGCCTGTCTTCTCTTCTTCCTCGACGTGAGGATCAACCTACGTGAGAGATCGAGGCGAAGTTAACTAAGATGGCTCGCAACGTTTCATCGTTCTTCTTTTATAAACTAAGCAAACCTGTTTAGGCAAGGCAAATTGTTTGCTCGGTCGTCGGCCTCTCCTGACTGCAGGCTTCCTCTGCTTCACCGCACTGTTTGTGCCAAGCCTGTGGATGGATAAACATTTTTACAGTCAGTATAATGAAATCAAATTAGAAGGGTGTAATCTGTAATGCGTAAAAAAAGGTAAATGCATACATTGTAGAGCATCCTCGGAAGGGCTTGAATATATGTGAAACTGAAATTCCAATCTTTTGCCAGTTAACAGACGCCCTCGTTCTGTGACTATGGCTGTATTGTTGGACTCTGGCGAAGTCTCTGAGTATGAAATTGATGAATTTGGAAGGCGTAACGGCATTGGAATTGAGCTTGGCGCCTTTCACCAATGAGCTTGTAATCCCCAACAGAGCCTCTGCGTCAGCTAATTGCTCCCTCGGTCTGATCACTGTAGAAGTGCGTAACAAGAACAGAAAAAGCACCGAAACGTGAGATTGCTTGCGCACCAAGTAATAAGGAAAAACCCTATCTCAGTGCAAAATTTTGATTGGATTGCCTCGCTCGTGCAAGCTCTGGAGCTCGTTGAGGATGGTGTTGAACTTGTTGGATTCCGCGCTTCCAATATCGTCTGCTTCATCTGCGATCACGAAGGCGGAGAAAGAGAAGGTTAGGGAATTCAAATCGAAACCCGCGAATACGTTTCGAACAAGGAAATTTCGAGGGAAGAACTCGGAGAAGAAGTCTGTTTTACCTTGGATGAGATTCTGGACGGCATGGTACCGAGAACGGAGAATTCTACAGTCGCTCAAGTCGGCGGCGGCGGCTACATTGCCCGTTCCGGTGCCGGGCTCGCGTTTCACGAGTCGGGTCATCAGTTGGTGTTGTTGTTCTCTTGTCGGAGGGAAGGTTAGGGTTTTTTTTGTTGTTGTTGATGGTGATGGGGTGGTGGTGGAAGCAAAGCTAAGGCAATGAAAGGACGAGGGGGGAAAATGGAGAGTCGGTCATTCCCAATAGTGTTTCGGCGGTTTAAATTCCTCCGATAAAAGCTCCTTCTCAGCTTATTTCCCTCTTTTTACCGAGGAATTATTGGCTACACCGGGAGCACCACCTAAGCATATGCTGATTTGGTGCTCCCGGCCAATTAAAATTTGCCACGTGTCGATATGGAGGAATTCATTAATTCATTGCTCAATTCTTTCCTTGGTTATCTATTCTCACAAACTAGTTGTGAGCCGGCCAGTTGGCCGGAGGAATAAGCACAAAGCTAGTAATTGGGTTGTGCTCATACCATGTTTAGTTTGGCGGTTTGTGGAATTGGGTCCAAAGCGTGTAAATTGAACAAAGTTGTTAATATTGTCGATATGTCCGAGTGGTTAAGGAGACATTATAAAAAAAAATTATATGTTAAGGAGACATTATATGTTAAGGAGACAGACTTAAAATCTGTCATTATAAAAAAAAAAAAAAAAATTTGAACCAAGTTGTCGTTCCCCTTTGTGCTTCATCCAATGAATCCATACCAATAGAGTGTCCCATTTAAGTAGTCGGCTTTGGTGTTTATTCGATGACTGAAAGGAAAAGATTTTTTCTGTTCAAAGTGGCTTAGAAGCTAAAGTGGGAAAGTAAGCTCTTTGTAGTGGAAAATAAAAGAACAGTTAGTAACATGCAGCAGAATGCTTGCTTTGCAATAAGGTGTTTAGGCATCCATGTAGGGCCTTACAAAAATGAGAGGATCTGTACAATAAGTGTCAGAAAAAAGCAAATGCAAAGTTATACACTGCCGTTTGGAATATATATACAAATTTCGTCTATGTTAGACACAACAGAGCCTAGATATATTGGTCAGAATTTGATCGACTACCAAATCAACTTGATCTTAACTTGATGAACATAAGTGTACTCGTTGGCCTGAGTAAAACTCATGATGATCACAAAATGAGAAGAGAGTAGCACTTGCGAACAACCCTTTTCGCTAATAGATATACCAATCTCATCACGGTCCTATGTAGCCACTGAAACCATGGGATATAACTATGAAACAAACGACCGAACTTTCACGTACAGAGGGTTGAAGCTAACAAACACTAAATCTTACAACCATCATTGATTCCGCCCAAATCAGGTCACTATAGACATGCATCACAGATTATGAAATCCTCGTCAAATCAATTATCTAGACTATCTACAACCATCAAGTCCGTGTAATGTCTCCTTTCATTTGCTCTACGACATGAGCAGTTATTTCCGGGCGAGTAGTCTGTTTGAGGTAATGCCAAGCTCAAAATTGATCTCAAAGAGAGAATACGTTTCTTTTCTTCACTACAATAGCTTAGACAAAAACAAACACGAAAGGTGAAACAAAGATGCATAGACAAAGCCATGGTAACCTTTTGATTCAAATATCAGTGGCCATAATAACCTAGCAACTATGAAATTACCATATGCAGAACTCAGTAGAATAGTGAATTGAAATTTACACGCGGGATAAGGAGAATATCAGGAATTTGTGAAACAATAAGAAATAAGACACCATGAGAATTTGAGAAGCAAAGCGCAACCTAGTTTTTCAATGCTTAAAAACGTCGAAAAAGAGAGGCTTTGAGAGGAGAGTGGAACTGGAATTGAGCACTGATAAAAATAGGAATCTTCAGAAATAAAGAACACTCCTCGTAAGTTACAAATTCAATCCTACGTACATACTTGAGGGGATATGAACTTCAAGAAGAATTGATAGCAAAGAAAGTATCATACCAAGGAATTCGAAAAATAATCGAACCACTTTATTTACATGTTGTTAGTTCCAACAGATAATATAAATAAGTTAATCTCATTAATTCATCTAAGTTAATCCATATTACCCTATTTCGCCAAAGGTAACATAGCCTAGTGGTGAAACCACTGGTCTAATTGAGCTCTGGATGTGGGAGGTCCTGAGTTCGATTCCCAGTGGCGCCACTTTAGCGTTCCCGGCGGCACCCTTGGTATCGGAGGCGAAGCCTCTCCAATGTTGGTAGCAGAAAACCCTGGTTAGTATGCAGGTACCCCCAGTGGTTTAGTAGAGGTCCCGCTGTCGCTCAAGCGGCACGTGGGGTTGAGATTCCCTGGGTTATCAAAAAATATTACCCTATTCAGAAAGGCATATGATTGGTGGATAACTCAAATCAACCTAGATTTTTTGTTACAGACAAAAAATAAAGCTAGATGTGATTAACTAGCTTCATTAACATCCCATCCGTAACGAACTGCTTACTCCAATAACAATATTTGCCCCAAGGTTGAGTCATGAATTAGAGCTACAACGTAAACATGGTGGTAAAATACAAAGTAGTGATGTTTTTATAAGATGAACAACCAATTAATGGTTTTGTAATCGGACATACCTAGGTTGAAGAAGGAATTTCATCAAAATAACGCCACGCACACTATATGTGTACAACGGCATCTAGATTGTCCATAAGAACAACAAGCAAACTCGTAATTCATTAGGGATACAAACATTCATTTTTGGCAAAACCTATGAACTATCTGCATCACTATACAACATGAGTTTATTCTGACAAATAATATGAGCAATTGTCTGGTAGAAGTCCAAAGTTTTGGTATCCCAACTCCGGGTCATTAGGTTATATATGCATCAAGTCGACAATTAAACCCAAATGATTGGAAAGTACACGAAATCGGTATAGGGATTCAAAGGAAGGAGAATCAAACTAAAAAAACCTAAAAAAGTGTGAAATACAATCAGTTGGAGCCCTCCCAAAATCTCACCAAATTCAATCGATTAGAAATGAAATATCTAAAAAATATAAAGGACTAAATCAACCCACAAATTCAATGCCTATATCTCTCTTCCCGGGGGAAAAAAGGGCTTCAAGATGACACTCGAATTGGGTAGGAAAATCAAAACATAAGGGGGAAAAACAATATTTCAAGGAATAAACAACCGTGGCCATAACCTACCAATTGACGAAGTGAGTTGTCGGTTTGATAGAGCTTCCTCCCTAATGAGGACCAACCCCAAGTTAGAAACTGCTAAAATTGACCCTACTGTGTGCGATCGATTCGAGTGAATGAGATTGGTAGGTTGCAAAAGAACACCTCTGAGAAGTGTCCAGTGCACAGGCAAACCCAACACCCTTCTTGTTAAGTAGAAGAAAAAAACCAGCATACCTTAAAACAATCTCCTAGTGAGGAAAACCCTAGAAAGAGGAAGCAAAGAGAAAGGCAACTGATGTTCTAACAAAGAAGAGTTTGTGAAACTGAAAACCCTAGAATCTTGTCATTTCTCATTACTTTGTCTGCCTTATATAGGCGATACAGAAGTGAAGGAGACAAGCTCCATTACAGCTTGTTTGGAAGCTTGGAAGGGAAACAAACAAAACTTGGCGGAAAAGAAAGTACATACATAAAAGGGAAGGTAAAAACGACAGCGGATAGTCTCGGAATTGAATCAGCTGCGTAGTGGACAAGTGGAAACGGTGTCGCAGCGAGGGAGTCCAGCGATGGGAAGAAAAACGTCGTCGTCCTCGAATCCGACCGTTGGAGACGAGGGAAAAGTTGAAAACTGGATTTTCAATCTGATACCCCCCCCCCCCCCCGCAAGCTGGTGGGCAGAGATTTCGCACACCAAGCTTGGAGAGCAAAGAGGTAAATGGTGCTGGTGACAGGGGCTTTGTGAAGAGATCGGCGAGCTGGTGATTGGAGGAGATGTGGAGAAGCTTGAGGCGCCCAGATTGCAATTTTTCTCGGACAAAATGGCAGTCAAGTTCTATATGCTTTGTTCTCTCATGGAAGGTTGGGTTCTTGGCAATGTAAATCGCGCTCTGATTGTCGCAATAGAGGGTTGCATGAGATGAAGAGGAAGCTTTGAAGTCTTGTAGCAGGTATTGCAACCACTGAATTTCGCAAGAGGTATATGCCAGTGCCCTGTATTCAGCTTCACAAGAAGATCTTGAGACTGTATGTTGTTTTTTGGTTTTTCAGGAGATCATGGAATCACCTAAATAGATGCAGAAACCAGTGGTGGACCTCTTTGTTTCAACACAGGCGGCCCAATCAGAATCAGTGAAGGCTTCAATTGAAAATTGCCTTTGGATGGGAAGAACAACCCAGTTGCTGGAGCTGTTTTGAGGTAACGAATTACTCGAAGATCAGCCTTATAATGGACATCTGTGGGTGAAGACATGAACTGGCTGAGCTGTTGCATAGCATAGCTGATGTCTGGACGTGTTGTTGTCAGATAAACAAGTTTCCCAACTAATGTTCTGTATAGCTCAGGGTCTTCAAATAGTGAATCAAGATCATTGCTAAGATGAACTTTGTAGTCCATAGGTGTTGTGACTGATTTGCTGTCCAGAACATTAGCTTGTTCAATGATTTCAAGAGTGTATTTCCTCTGAGATAAATGAATACCTGTTGTGCTTCTTGCCACTTCGATTCCAAGAAAGAATTTCAGATTGCCCAAATCTTTAATGCTGAAATCTTTATCCAAAACCTCCTTGAGTGCCTTGATTTCTGAAAGATCATTGCCCCCCAGGACTAGATCATCAACATAAATCAGTATACATGTGTAGCTGGTGTCTGTTGCCTTGTAAAAAAGAGAATGACCAGCTTTGCTTTGAACATAACCAACTCTGATTAGGGTGTCTGTCAACTTGGAAAACCACTGTCTGGAGGCCTGCTTTAATCCATAGAGTGATTTCCTTAAACGACAAACAGGGTTGGGAATATTTGGTGGAGGAACAAAGCCTTTGGGAAGAGTCATGTAGACTTCTTCTTCAAGGTCTCCATGAAGGAAAGCATTATTCACATCTAACTGGTGAATATGCCAATTCCTCATTGCTACAATGGCAAGAAAGGTTCTGACTGTAGT